GAGAGAGAGAGAGAGAAAGCAACAGAGAGGCGGAGGAGAAAAGCGGGAAGCGGCCATCGACTACGAGGCCGCGTGGGTTCGAGGTCGAAGCCGTAGTAGAGTCACGTTAGGCGACTGCCGGCTGTGTCGTAGCCAAAGTGCCGTTATTTTAATGCAGATACGCAGAGTCCGGACGAGAATGAAAGGCTGTAGAAGACATTTGCACGTAAGTACGGCGGTGCACGGCTGCAATGTATCTCTCTAGTGGTTGACGCGGTGCCAGCTAACCTCTCTCACTGCCCATACGGCCGCGCGCCGTGCCTCGATCTTAACACGCGGTTCATCTACTATATTCACGTCTCTCTGTTGGAAGAAATCTTTGCTCGCGTGTTCCCCCTTCTTTTCTCACGTTTGTTGCGTTAATACGTTGGATTTGCATTACCTGCAAATCCGACAGGTCCAATGTATCAAAAACGATTCAGCAACGTCATTACGTCGTTACGCGACCGTTCGCATCTTATTTACATTTCATTCGAGCAAGCTGCATATTATTCAAATGCGTTGTTCCGTTTTTGCAAATAACGCGGCTTGTAATATCCGTCGTTATTTGCAAAATATTCGCAATTTACAAGTCAAACGACACTTCGCTGCATGCTGAAAATATGCAAACTTCTGTATTTTGATTTGTCATTTTTTTCTTTCTTTTTCTCTCCCCTTTTTTTTTTTAATTTCTTTGCTGTGATTTAACGTTAACACGCGTGCGTTATTTTCTATGATTCGTACACAACACTGTCGTGGGCAAATGACATTTGCGAGGAGAGAGACACCTGGCGACGGTGTCGATGAACAATGAGATGCGAAGCAAGCAAAGGATGGAAGGCGACGGTTACGAAAGCCTCGAAGGCTTCGAAACGCCTTGCAGGTGGTAAGAGACGATAAAGAGATTCAGAGAGGAAGAGGACAGAGAAGGAGAGAGAAAGGTGGCCGAAGAATGAGAAGTAACGGTAGTTGGTATTAGAAATTTAATGCAAACACCACGCTCGTCGTGCGTCTTCAACTGCTTCTTCATGGCGTCTCGTCGCATCGCGTCGCGCTATGGAGAAAGCCAAGTCGTGTCGTTTATTATTATTTGAATTATTATCACGACGTTTAACATGGAGTTACTGCAAAAAATATATTTTTTAGGTTCGAGTTACTTCTCCTGCTGTTTGTCTGTGTCTCGACAGTACGAAACGCTATCTAACCTCGTGATCCTTCCGAAATTACCACTGTCAGATTACACTGTTTTATCGATCATCGGTTAATGAACCATCAACACGAGCCGTTTTTGCTCGACTTTTTATTTGATACTTTAACTAAAGATTAGAATGGGCTTTGACAGAAGAATGATCATTACATCATCAATCCACGAGTAATTAGTTTGTGCAGAGTAGCTGTACCATCGATGATACACGTGGCACGGAACGTGTTACAAGAAAGAATCCATTGTATTCTTACTCGTAAAACGAATCTACTTTGTACACTCTTCTCGAAATGATACGAGCGAATTGGTAAAAATTCGTTGGCCAGTCGGTAATTAAATCGGTTATTAAACAGCGTGTGCTGTTTCTCTGCAATATCGATCGATACGAACAGACGAACATGTTTCGGGGGAGAACGAAACAGCGTGAGAACAAAAGGGGAGATTTCTCGTTGCGTATCTGCGAAAAAATAGTGAGCGTGGCGCAAAGTTCAAAGGGAGAGAGGCAGTGAGTGTCGCCGTCTCAGGTGTCGCCGAGGAAGAAACTCTTGTTGAAACACCGTACACAACGTAGATTGTACGCCGTAGACGAGTCGAAAGTCTGTAGAAACAACAACAACAACAACAACGATGTGAAGGGGCAACGCGACAACGTCGATGTCGATGCCGATGACGACGACGGTAAAGACACGACATAGCAAGGCAAGGGAAAATGCGAAGGGAGAAAAAAGAGGAAGACAAGTGTGCGTTGCCACTGGTGAGGAAACAGAAAGCAAAACGGGGAGGAGGGGGGAAGAGGAGAGGGAGGCCGATGTCGTAATTTCCACATGGAACGATTGCAGGTGCAGCAGCTATTTCAAAAGACGCGTGAAGAAACTGCTATTTCTCTCTCTCTCTCTC